ACAAACACACACAAACCAACAGCCGTCACAATATGCGTTCTTGCTGTAGTGTTGCAGCGCAACAGGCATAAAGAGAAGCTCAGCTTACCCATTAATGCTGGTTGAAGGTATGTCACGTTGTGCAAGGTTCAAAGCAACAGCATCGGCCGTTCGTTTGGTCTGCACAAAAATTAGTGTGCGGAACAAGCCACGATTATTCTTTTTCTCCTCCTCCAGAATTTCCACCAGCTTGTCCAACTTGTCTGCCGCTGCCACCTTAAACAAATAAAGAAATTACTGAAAATGGTAGACGAATTCTGTGCGTAGAGGAATTGGCTGTCCTACCGGCAGTGTTCACCCTTCGGCATACTGCATGACAATAGGACCTGCCGGCCCAATAATGCGTTATATTCAGTGCATTTTACTTTCTCACTTTCATATTTTCAGTTTTTTTGCATGTTACTAACTTGTTTGTAAGAACATTGTAAATTACTACGAAAAATAATTGGCCAACGCATGGGCTACCCGTGTGAAGATGCGTTTTTTGCATAACTCCCCGCATTTTTTTGTCGCAAAGGCACTCGTTTTTCCGACAGATGCTTCTAGCTAAAAGAATTTCAGACCGGCCGCCAGGACTGTCAGGAAATATCCCTTCAAAAATCCCAGTCTTCTAGCTTCTCAGATCCCAGAGTTACGAACTTACGCGAAAATTTTGGCGGGCCTATACGTGGGTACCACACTTGTCCGGGGGCCGGCTTTAAGCACTTTAACGGGGAACATCATCCCAAGATTTCAGCTTTCTAGCTTCTCAGATCCCCGAGTTATGAACTCAACCGTAAAAAACTTTGGCGGACTCGTACGTGGGTACCATGCGGCTAAAGGCGCCTATTTTGGGGAATGAGGCCCGTACGTGCATGTAGATTAAGTTCCCAAAGTTTTAGCCCTATAGCTTTTGTAGGTCTTGAGATGAGAAATCGGTACAGACGCACACACCGACATATGGACACACAAATAACCCCTCGTCAATATACGTTTTCTGCATTGCATAGTTGCAAAAAACGTATAATAAATAGCGGCGCACGCCAGGGTGGCTGGTACAATCAATGGGTTTTGCGCAGTTTTGTCCAATGGAAGCTTGTACAACTCTATCCAAAGCACCTTGTTGTTAGAAGCGTTCAATGCTTCGCAGTGCAGAAATTTTTGGAGTTCGTAAGTTATTGCTTTTGGTGCCGAAACCAAACATGCGCGAGGACTCAATTTATATGCGGAGAAGAAGCATTTTCCTAAAATTTCGGCGCCTTACCTTTTCTGGCTCCCAAGCTAATTTTTTTGCCAAAACATTCATATGCCCGTATATGAGCACTGAATTTAAATACACGGTATCGTGCGTAGCCACGACATCCTAAAATCTCAGCGTCCCAGTTTTCGTGGTCCCCCAGTAAGACCAAATGAGACAGTGAACATTCTTTTGTTGTTTTCAAGTGAGACCTACGCATGCGCGAGAATCAAATTTATACGCGGATAGCGAGTATTCTTCCAAAATTGCAGCGTCCCAGCTTCCCTGGTCCTCAAGTTAATAATTTTTGCGCCAGACTTCACACACACGTCCGTACGTGAGATTTGGAAGTACGCAAAAGCTGAATTTAACTTCACAGGAT